TTGAATGAAGTAAGTGTATTTTTTTTGTTTTTGCCATTCCGATTAATTATCACCATACCATCATCAGGATCTGCGTGATTTTCTTGGCCAACAAACCCCTTTGATTGTTCTCGAAGTTGTTGAATAAGTTTGAGAGATAAAGATCGACCTGTACCTTCATAACCATTTATAGTTGATGCCATAAATACCAAATAGGGACCAATAAGATTTTTCACCAATGGTAATGGAATGGCAGCAGCTTCATCAATGATTAATAATTCAGCTTGTCCAAGAACATGTGCATCTTGTGGTTGTATATACTAAGCATGAAAAAAGGTATCAATACAAAGTACAAAACAAAAATAATGCAGTAAAATGACAAAGTACACACTTGAATAGTCTGCCGATGCTGTTTAAAGACATTAACTCTAACTATGGCTTTATTAAAATCAGGATTTGTAGATTGTATAATATCATAATCTAAGTGCTCCTCATACTCCAAAGCATCAAATCCTCTAAAAATAAATTCAAATAATGTCTTCAAATTTTCAGGACTAGGGGATGTAACGAATATGTTTGAATAACCAAATGCAACAGCAGCAGCAATTGCAATTCCAAGTGCTGCAGATTTACCACGACCACGAGCAGCTGTAAGTGTTACTGTGCTACGTAATTTCTTTTCAGATATAGCTTCAATAAAAGTATGGATAGCTTTTCCTTGATCTAATGTTTTAGCTGTGGCGACAAGTAAACCAACAGGTTGTGTATCCGCCAATGAGGCCTTAAATTCTTTTAATTCAATCTGTTTATCAGACATAGATTCCTCAGATGACTTTAATTGCAATGGTTTCACATTTTTTCCAGCAGATATCGGCAACACATTTAATTCATCGTCAACTACTAGACAATTTTCACATGACCCAAGGGAAAGAATGAAACGTTCATTAAATCGGGCAATAACATCGTCATGAGCTTCAGTCCGATAACGAGAATGTACATCCTTTATAAACAACACCATTTGTTAATAGTTAAAGTAAATTAATTAAAATATTAGTGCTAATACGAACCATTGTCAATGTATATAACTGTTTTAATGACTTCATAGTCTTAAGCAATAATACAACAACGCCACCACCCTCCACAGTCTCAATTGTACGCGCCAACAAGTTTGGTGTCAATGCTTCAAAATCCTATTTAATTATTTATAATGAGACAAATATGATATGGTCAAAACAAAATTAAAAATCATTAAAACCGTACCTGCAATATACACATGCCATATGTATTACCCAGGATATTATGCGTCTCCTTATAATATGTGTATCGAATATTTGTAACAGCAATGAAAAGCTCGAATGGATCTTCTTCATTAACCTCCCTAATACCACGTTTAACCTCCTTTCGTATTTTTGCTTCTCTCTTTTTACGATGGCTGTTATTGTTTAATTTACAAAATTAATTATTTTATATTTCAAAATGAATTAAATAAAAATTACACATACCTGGTAAACCCTAATTCTCTTTTATAACACCATAATACAGATGGTCTTGCAGTCACTTGGGCTTGTGAAAGCATCCAATGCAAATTCACCACCTGTTATTTATTACCGATTTTTTTAATAATTAAAAAAAAAAAAAAACTAATCTAATATGATTTTATACCTGATCTTTGCCTTTATCTCCAACAATTACAAAAAATGATCTATGTTTATTCTGAACACCATTTTTTATCAATGTCGGAATCCTTGAATCGACAACCTTCTTAACCATATTAAAAGGTTAACCACGTTACTGATCAACGACAAAAAAAAAAAAATTTACCATTTAAGTAGTCACCAAAGTTTGATTTCATTGGCTGGTGTCAGTTAAGATTGGCGATCATATACTGTATAACGATAATGACAATCAATTATTATTTTTTTTTGTTCTAATCCTATAGCCATTAGCGTTAGCTTTTTTTTTTATTTTTATTTTTTATTTTTTTTTAGATTTCATTACTGTTAAGGCTGTTAGTCTCGTCACTTCGGTGTCATGTAAACCTGTCATTTTTTGGTGTCAGTAAATTCGATATCGCACAAATTCGTCATTTGGTGCCATATAATTTTTGTGTTATTGACAGATATGTTTAGGTTTGAGAGAATAGAAATAGCATTAGCATCTGCATTTTGCAAAAACAACATGCCAACTTCTTGGAACATTGGTTATAATAAACTAGAACCGGAAGTAAAGTTAGCAGATACGCTTTGCAACAACATTGCAGTGCTTTTTTTGAATGTTAATCAATAGGAAGAAAGCAGTATGCATATATACTGTACCTTGCAACAACACAGCATTTATTTTTTTGATTTTGGA